GTCTTTAAACTACAATTTTCATTGATTCTCTCACGTACATTCATATCTGCTCATGACGTTTCCAAATGTAGACAAATGACGTTACACATTATGAAATGGACAAAGTCTGACAATTATTAAAATAATTCTCGAATTTGTTCATTTCATAATATATATATATATATATATATATATATATATATATATATATAAAGAATAATCACACATAGAATTAATCAGAAGTATCAATGCGATCATTGGCGACATCCATCGCTAGAAAACATAATATATGCATTAAAATCCTGTTCATCACAAGAAATATTTAAATAAAATTCTCACTTAAAAATTTTGAAAAACTTAGCGTTGCGTCTTTGCACGTTCCGATATCTTACAACCGTCAATAATAGCAGATATTCAAAAAACATCTTTCGGTCGACATACAGGTATATCGTCTCAAGTTTTTGATTTTATAAGGAAAAAAAACACATGCCTGATGATGGATGGAAGACTGTCCGTAAGTACTAGCATTTTAACATCAAATAAACTGAAAAACTACAGACAACAAGCCTAAAAAATTGCCTAAAATCTTAAGGCGCGTATTGCCGGAAAATTATCAAATGTTGAATACGCACCTCCTCAGAACATGTTAAATAGGGAGTGACATTCTCTCACTTTTTCTTTTTTCCTATTTCACCCAGGGACGGTAAAATGTAGGTCGAACTCGGACAAAGTGTTTCCCACTGGGCAACGCACGCGTGTGTGTGTGCACATTTCATCTTTTTCTCTTACAAAAACATTCCACTAGTTTAATTGTTTTCTTCATTCATGTCAATTGTTTTGTAAGACGCAACAACAATCTGTTGTCTCTCTCTCTCTCTCTCTATATATATATATATATACCCTTTTTTATAATAAATACTTATCGTTTGTTTATATACATAGTTTTGGGTAGAAATTGCTTATTCGAATAGTTTGAAACACCCTATTTATCATCTGTTAGTTGTGTCACTGTTTCCGGGCTGAGTGCGCTCAGGGCCGCCTCCATCAAAGGACAGAGTCGCAACTGAGCCAGCCATGGGGAACAGCTGCCTGTGGAGTGTGCCCTCTCATTGTGCACAAGAGAGAGGGATCTTGTGCACGCATCGATGCCAGCGCAACCAACGGTTATTGATTTTAGATCAAATTCCACAAAATAATTTCTTCGGGGCTGTAAAAAATTAAGAAAAAATTTTCCCAAAATTTTCTTTCAAATAATTTTTTTTCGTACGTAGTTTCGATCTCATCTGAGACCATCTTCAGGAGTTGCATATCTATGCATGTGTTATGCATTAACACCAAAAATTAAAAAAACATTTTTAACTCTATTCAAAGGACCCTGTGAAAATGTGGCACGTAATAACTGGGCTGGACTAAAATAATTACCTCTCGAGATATCTCAACGTTGGATCAGTGTGGAATAAGAACAATCTACACTAGCAGATAAAATTCAGGTTTCTGTTCGAAATTCCTTGTAGGTTACCCGTGCCGACATGCACCTGATGAAGGCTGGAAGGTATAAGGGCCGAAACGCTGTGGTAACAAAAAAAAAGATGAGAAGAATAAATGCAAATAATGATAATGACATTCAGACAGAAATTCATGTTCCGTTTAGAAAGATTGTGTTGCGCCACACTACTACATAAGGAAGATCATGATTAACCAATTTTCTTAATTGCAAAGTTGAGCATCTTTCAACATTAATGATTATAAATTAGTATAGAGTACAGAATTAGATAATAATAATAATAATTTTTTCTCCCCGGAATCGATCCTCCAGATCTACAAATCAACAATTCGTCCTTGCATGGAGTATTGTTGCCATATATGGTCTGGAGCCCCTTCTGTTTGCCTCGGGGTTCTTGATAGGCTCCAGAGGCGGATATGCTCTGGCATCTCGTCTACAGACACTTTCTCCTATCTCTGTCTTTTTTACAAATACTGTCATGGTAACTGCTCCGACCATCTTCAGGACATATTTAAACGGAACACTGATCTTATAAAAGATTTCAGTTATCCGTTTGAATTGGTCATGCTCTTATGTCCATCGTCTTTTTAATGTTGAATTGAATATGGTCTAATGTTAATTATACTTTATGAATATGTCCTGAAGATGGTCTATTAGACCGAAACGTTCGATGTTGACATTATATTAACATGAAAACAGCATAATTGCATATTAGGATTTTTGTTGTTTTTTTTCGTATATTTTTCTTCATATATATATATATATATATATATATATATATATATATATATGTGTGTGTGTGTGTGTGTGTATTTATATAATAGAAATAAAAAATATATATATACATATGCATACATATATTTGTATTCTGTTATATATATATATATATTCTGTAATATGTATATATATATATATATATATATATATATATATATATATATATATATATGCACTACATTTCAAAAATAGTAAATGTCTTTTGAGTGATTTGAACAACATATTACAAGTAACAGGCGCAGGTTACTTTTCATCCAAACTTCTATGGACATATTGCAGCTGCTGGACCTATAAATACGCATTTAGCATTGCATTGCGTTTTAAATGCATATTATCCGAACGATTCCATCACATGCATAGAATTTGCTTTCCTCTAGAGAGTTCGGATTTTGAGGTCATTTTTTTCTAAAGAATTTTCCTCATCAATCCGCCAATTTCTTTAATCATTTCACCTCGAGCAAGGCGATAAGCACAGTACAACGCAGGGGATTACAGGGAGTTAATGAGGAAAGGAAGACATTAGTAAGAAGTAAGAGAAAGGACAATAAAAGAACGGGAATCAGTGAGACAGAAGAAGGCGATTGACGTTGCCTATATTTTCTTGAAGATTGAAGGCGACAGGGAGGAAATAAACCGGAAGTGAGTTCCACAGGCGAGAAGAGAGGGTAAAGTCAGTCATAGAATAGAAGAGACAGTTGCATCTAGCTAGTTCAAAAGGAAAAAGTTGAGACCATGTTGCTAATCGAGAAGCACGCTTAAATTCGTGCAGTCAATATACCAATTAGAACATCTCATCAAAAACAATTGGCATTATAATATTTATAGACAAGACAAGGGAAAGTCACGTCCCATCTATGGAAAAAAATGTCTGAAGTCAAGATGCCAGGTGAAGACCGATTAATTACAGATGCTTCTTTGGATTTTGACAAGAATTTAGAGATATATAGTAAGAGATGCACACGGCTGCTGTTATGATAGAATCAGTCGTGATAGTAGTATTCAATACTATTTACACTATTGTCCTCATTCTAATCACCTGAAGAAGGCCGGAGCGTACAGCGGCCGAAACGTTGTAATAAATATGGCGACAAAGATGAGGACGATAGTCCGAATATTGTAAATAGTGTACAAAATACCTCATCTCAGAAATACAGACAGATACTGAAAGACCGAAACGTTGTAATAAATATGGCGACAAAGATGAGGACAATAGTCAGAAAAATGTAAATAGTGTACATAATACCTCATCTCAGAAATATAGACAGATACTGAAAGGCGGAAACGTTGTAATAAATATGGCGACAAAGATGAGGACAATAGTCCGCATAATGTAAATAGTGGGCATAATACCTCATCTCAGAAATATAGACAGATACTGAAAGGCGGAAACGTTGTAATAAATATGGCGACAAAGATGAGAACAATAGTCCGAATAATGTAAATAGTATACATAATACCTCATCTCAGAAATATAGACAGATACTGAAAAGCCGAAACCTTGTAATAAATATGGCGACAAAGATGAGAACGATAGTCCGAATAATGTAAATAGTGTACATAATACCTCATCTCAGAAATATAGACAGATACTGAAAGGCCGAAACGTTGTAATAAATATGGCGACAAAGATGAGGACAATAGTCCGAATAATGTAAATAGTGTACATAATACCTCATCTCAGAAATATAGACAGATACTGAAAGGCGGAAACGTTGTAATAAATATGGCGACAAAGACTAGAACGATAGTCCGAATAATGTAAATAGTGTACATAATACCTCATCTCAGAAATATAAACAGATACTGAAAGGCGGAAACGTTGTAATAAATATGGCGACAAAGATGAGAACGATAGTCCGAATAATGTAAATAGTGTACATAATACCTCATCTCAGAAATATAGACCGATACCATTCAGTACTCAGCTAGACAAGTCACTACAATATTATTATCTTCCTCTTTTGACAATTCCCAAGGACTACTTATCATGAATGGATCAGTCGATTCATCAGAGCTAGGAGATTAGCTGTTACTTACCCTAACAGCAGCAGAATTCAATGCAGAGAAGGAATGGATAGTTAGAATGATGCATGCGTCCATTGCAAGTTGTTCCCTAAAAGGAAATTACTTATGAGTCACACTAATATTTAAAAAGGTGGTGAAAAATTTACTGAAATTGGGTGGAATCTAACCAGGCATAATTAGATGCAAAGATAGGTACAAGCATATGCTTATGAAAGTGTTACTGTACAGGAAGATTCTATTACGACACTTGGGTAAATAGAGAAAGAAAGATAACAAAAGGGGAAGTCTGTTTCTAAATGCTGAATTGAATTATTTACTGACAGCCCAAAAAGCGTTGACACAACTATGCACGGCATCATACATGCAGATAGGCAAAGACATATGTATGGTCACATAACAAAATATATATATATATATATATATATATATATATATATATATATATATATATATATATATATAGAGAGAGAGAGAGAGAGAGAGAGAGAGAGAGAGAGAGATATGAGTAGACATTGATAGCTTGTTAGCTAGCTAGCTAGCTAGCTAGATAGATAGATAGATAGATATGAACAGGTCCAAATAGATCGATAGGTATGAAATTGTTGATCTGAAATTATATATATATATATATATATATATATATATATATATATTGAGAGAGAGAGAGATAGTAATGAAACTGATATATAATAGATAGACAGAGAGTCAGACAGACAGATAGATAGATAGATAGATAGATAGATAGA